TTTCATGTGATCTATAATCAGCACATCCTGCATGTTATACACTGACAGGTGAAACAGTTTATACTAGCAAGCCAAATAATTTCAACATTTCGATATCAAAACAAGCAGCCTCTCGGCTGACATAGCTGAAGATATCATTAGAAAATGAACAAATCTGAGAGAGGTCTACCTGAGGTCCATATATGTATAGTTTTAAAGTAATCAGACTCTTCGTTTTCAACAAAAGATTTCGAAAATGTCATTTTTGGTAAAAAGTGAAAATAAACATGAAAATTAGAGAATTGACATATCACCATGAAATGAACAAATCTGAGAGAGGTATACCTGTAGTGCCTATATGCATGTTATCAAAGCAATCAGACTTGCGGTTTTCAACAAGAAGTCGAAATTATCACTTTTTACTAAAAATGACAAAAATATTCACCAAAATTAGAGAATTAAAGATATCATCATGAAATGAACAAATCTATTAAAGAGAGGTCTACTCAAGGTACATATACACAAAGTATCAAAGCAATAAGGCTTGTATTTTTTCAAGAAGAAGTCGAAAAAGATGGCATGGACGGTGGTCGATGACGAACAATGGCTCATATGATAAGCTACACTTTACACAGTTGACTTATCATTTTTTAGCAAGATTTAGTATTTTCAATGATTGTAGTAGACGGTCGACAGTCGGTGGTACCTAATTTTACTCTGTTATTATTATTAAATATTGTGTATAAACGTAATAGGTCTGAATAAATTGTCAACATTGGGACAGGAAGTATGGAGTGCAGTTAGGCACGACTGACTGTCCGGTGCTGCAATTCACTGGTAAGATTTCTTCCCAGATCCGGGTACTTTCATATGCAAATGTAGTCGCGCAGATGTCTATCATTTTATCGTGACCAATCGTGAAAAGGGTCAGGGGTCGCTGGATACTAGGATCGCACACGACTTACACGAAGTTTGATTTGACTGTACCATTTTCTTGGAGGAAAAAGCCTGCAACTTTTCCAATAACTCTCGCTTTTTAATAGTTTGTTGAAGTTTCTTCCTGAACTCATCCATGTTTTTATGCAGAGTCAACGCTCTCAGTCCACATTTTCTACACGCGTACCCTGACAAGATGTAGATCGATCGTCTCTGTCTCAAGAAATTTGACTTCTTTGCATGTTGTAGTTCTGTTGATCCCGCAAAACAGTCTCCTCTGGTTTTAATAATAATACGTAATCTCCAAAGCGCCAGTATCCAAAACAAGGTAATGTTCAATGGCGCTGTACATAGAGATGACTAGTTGTTAAAAGCTTTCCTAAAAAGATGAGTCTTAAGTTGAGTCTTGAAACTGTTCAATGTTGGTGACTTGCGTAGTTCAAGTGGCAATGTGTTTCAAAGCCGTGGTGCAGCACGAACGTTTGCCGAATGATTCTGATTTATATTTTGGTTCTTTATTTGTTGAACGAAGTTCGCGAGGTGAAGATCTAAAACAAAGTGACATGTCATTCAGTGCTTTGTAAGTGTTTAGTAGTAGTGGTCTTTCTATATTTTCTATTTGACTGCCACAAACAATGCACGTTGTTTCTTTGGTTCTAGGCAATTTAATAGTTTTCTTTGCTATTTTGGTTGGAGTGACTGTATTCATTGTGTTCATAACGTGAACAACCAACGCATTCAGGAGGTCATTTAGAATAAATTTGCATATAATTTATTTTGTGACATCAGCGTCAATTATGAATTATTCATATCAACTAGAAACCAGCAAATGGGGACAGTGTCTAACGTCCCTCGCGTGAAATGCTTTGCATTTCCCAGCAAACATCTTTGGCGTTTGAATGTCTAGAACACATAATTACATTAGGCCTGAGGACTGTCGACAGTCTATGCTTGTAGAAAAACTACCTCATTATAAATACCTTGATAATTCATTGTTTGTAAGATCTAGTCTTTGCAATGCTTGTAGGGAGACTACTTCATCAGGAATAGTCTTTATGCGGTTATCACGTACATCCAATACAGAGATATTACTGAGGTACTGTAAATGTTCCTTGGACAACTCACTAAGTTGATTGTTACCAACATGTAATTCCTAGTAAAATAAATATCATCCAAATATTAGAATAGAATAGAATAGAATAGAATGGAATGGAATGGAATGGAATGGAATGGAATGGAATGGAATGGAATGGAATGGAATGGAATAGAATAGAATAGAATAGAATAGAATAGAATAGAATAGAATAGAATAGAATAGAATAGAATAGAATAGAATAGAACAAAAAAACAATATTATATTTAACATGTATTGTATACATCACATGTAACCCGCATCAAACACAGCGTGAAACAACAACTCTAGTGCTAAACTACAGAAAGAATTAGTAATGAAGATAACTATTTAAAGTAGCTGACCTAAATGAGATGAGTGTAGAGATACCCT